TCTGGGAGTTGAAGTCCACTCATCTTAAAGTGGCCAAGTTTGGACAACACTGGAGTAAGGGCAAAACAACCCTTTCACTTGAATGAAGCCAAGTGTCCACCAGTGGAGCCTCCCAGGCTAATCAGCAGCTTTGGGACCTGCTGATGGCCTCTTATCCAAGTAGTAACCAGATCTCACTTTGCATAGCCCCCCCCTTTTTTTTTTTGAGATCAGCCACTTAATAAATAATGTAACAGTATTTATTAACTTTAATAAGAATTGTAAAGCAGATTAGAATAAACCTATGAAATTTAGGAAATGAATAAAAACAACCATCCTGAAAAATGAAATCTGTTTTCAGTACCACATTTAAAAATAAAATGAAAAACTGGATCCTGTCCAGAGGTAAGTGAACAGTCTGGTGAGGAGAACTGGAAATTAATCTGGGGAGACATTGCAGCAATTATGAAATACCTGCAGCACAGTCATTCAGCAGAAAAGACTGGTTTTTTATTATTCCAGCGGCTAAGACTAGCATAGGTGATTGAAAATGGCAAAGAACCAACCTCTGGTGAAACATAAAATGTTAGCAGTGTGTGAAAATGATACAGCTGCTTATGAGTCAAAACAAAACATGACAGAAGAATTCATCACCAATTCCCCATATTTGGTTGATTCTTAGGTTTAAGAATCTTCTAGATGTAGGGGATAAGCCAGATAGCATTGTGACTATTCCAACACTGAGCTTGAGAAATTTGACAACAGTCCAGATGCCACAATGACAAAAAGGCCAAATTTGCAGTCCAAACCTGAACTGCTAGATATCTGTTTCTCCGTGACTATGTTCCTGCTTACTTTTACATTGCTGTGTATGGTGAAACGTGTGTGTGTGTGTGTGTGTGTGTGTGCGTGTCTTTGGCACCCACGGTCAGAAAAGAGAAAGAAAAGTTCTTTGGCACATTTTATAGACACGGCTTGTGATGAAGCAAGGAGAGCAGCATGTTGACAAGCAAACAAGGTATGAAAAGAATAGAAGTAGGATCTTATATCCACGCACATACGCACATAGCGTACATCAGGCAGCATCATCTCACCCTTTCTGGATAGCCATGGGAATCCTGCCAATGTCTGCATGTTTGTGACCTGGGGCAATTCTCCATGAAACTGAAGAAAGGGGAGATGCATTTTTCCCCTTCCTTTTGATCACCAACTTCAAGATTTATAGTTGATAATTTATCATCAGAGAAATGAAATATTGTGGATGCTATTCTATATTTCTGTAGCCATGAAAGATTTGACAAAAAGTTTGTTCACATAAAGACTTTAGTTTAAATTTAACTTCGAATGAGCTAAGTTTCTTGCAAAGTTTGTTAAGGACTGTGCTGTCTTGAAAAATTCTTCCTTACTTGAAAGGTACACCTTCCCCTTTGTATTATTCATCGCAATCTCCCTTTTTCCATGCAATACGTACACACATTAACATTCTCTGCTTCCCAGTACAATTTGGTCAGATTTTCCAGGAAGGGAACATTGACAGTAATTATTTGACCTCAGCTGACAGCTTCCTGGGAGATGAGGAGGAGAGTGAAAGAAAGTAGAAGACATCAGAGAGAAAGGGAAAAGCATGGGGGAAAAGGGTGACAGAGAAGGGAGAGAAAGGGATGCTGGCTTGTATCTCTCAACCAATTACCCCTGAAGGAATCTGAATGCAGCTCTTGACAGGCCAAGAGATCTCCCTGCGTAGGTTACCCATTTCTCAGCTGCCATGGCAGAAGGTGTGTGATTAGGATCTTTCTCCCTCCCCTGCCAAAATTCAAGGCAGCACAAGAAGCACGTTAGGTCAGGATCATAATGTTGGGAGAAGAGGATGGAACCTCCTAACCTTTTCTTAATTAAAATACTTTCTCCTTTAATTTGCCCCATCCTTCAGAGAAAGTGACAGCATTGTTTTAATTTGGAAAATGGCATTAAGAAAAAGGGTCATATAGAACACACCCCATGACACACTCCTGTCATGGCTGTTTTCTTAATTATTAAACTCTAAGAAGTTCTAAACTCCTTCCATTCAGTCTGGTTCTTCTCACTCAATTTAACTTTGGCTTCTGCTAAAGCCAAAACGGTTACTGCCTTCAACGGGTTTGCCTTAAATAAGAAAATGGTCGATGTTTGGAAATCCTGAGTGGAAATTGATGATAATGAGGAAGAAGAGGAGGAGGAGGATGGTTTTGTCGTGGGGCCCTTCAATAAAAGGAGACTTTTTTTTTCTTGGTACCCAGCAGTGGAAGGTTGGCCTGTATTACCTCACATTCCAACATTACAAACTCTGCTGCTTTCTCAGGCAGAAAAAAATGTTCTCCCACTCTGATCTGTTAGAGGAGGAAAAGGATTCATTTTCCCAGAGCTGTAGAGGGAGGCTCCTGCTGTGTGCAAAGGAGAAGGAGTAAGACACGCAGCTCTGTCCTTTCCTGCCAAATCATGCCACTGGAGGTGGCTTTAGGCTGCTGAGACGAAGGAGAGGATGTGTCCAGCTCTGTTTCCTGCCTGATAACAGTAGCCAGCCCCTCCAACCGGATGTTATGCGTCCTGGGGCTACCTTTATATTTAAGCAAAGGGATGAGGAAAAATCACGAATTGTTTATACTTCAAGAAAAATAACGTCGTTTTCTTGCTCTCCGTGAACACATATAGATGGCTCCCTGAAAGAATAACATAAAGAAAACACAATGTCCTGCATCCCATAGTAGACATATTTGGGGGGGGGGGCACTAGAAGACCTGATATAGCCTCCCTTTTTTTTTTTTTTTAAACTTTAGACACCCATGTCTCATGTTCTTTTGCTTGCTTCTTCACCTGATGGAAGGGTATTTAAGGCAGGGGCCATCCCTGAAATAACTTTCCATCAGATCAAACTTTATGTGTATAGACAACGCCTCACTGTAGAAACCTCCTTTTATCAGAAAAGAAGCCAAGGGGGATCACAATATACACAAAGTGAGACTATAAAAATCAGCTTTTAAGAAATACATCATCATCATCGCTACCACTTGTGTAAAAAGGCAACTTTCAGGTGCACATTCCTTAAAGGTAATTTACTGAGACTGAAAATAGAGCTCTCCTACCTGGCAAAAGGCATTTTGCTGCTTGAGACGGACAAAACAGCAGTCCTCTTTATTCCACAAACTCAAGCTGACTGGGCAGGTAGTTGAATCCTACTCCAGTTCTGGCAGCAGGACAGCACTCTTTGCTCCAATATATTAAATTTATTTTTATTTCAATGTTATATGCAAATAACAACATTCGTGCTACTACTAGTGATAAAATCTAAATTGGATTTAATTTAATTTAAATCCAATTAAAATTATATTCGTTAAACTGAATTAATATGATTGAATCTCATGGGCTGAATAACTTCTCCTATCACGTTCAAAATTAGAGTCTGGTGACAAGTTTTAGAGTAGCTCTGCAGGTCCATGCGTGCCGACTATAATGGCATTATAGCCTTCCACTTCTGAAAGGCTACAGGAAACTGCTGCCTTAACTTTCAGGATTTCTTTACAGAAGGTGCTAAGAAATTCTAGGTCTGCAGTCTCACTTGGTATATTTAAAATATAGCGGGGATTAGAATAGAAATAAAAAAATAAGCAAGGGAAGACTGACATGAAGCATGCCATTGTAAAGAACTGTCCTCTTGCAGAATAAGTGGTTAATTTCTTAGAGGAAAATGCTTCCCTCTGAATATGCCTCATGTCTATGAGCAATGCTGTCTAAATCACAGGGGTTACTATTAATTGGCACCACAAGCATAGAGTCGCTTTGAGGAAGCCATTTTGTGTTAATGTGGTCCCATAAGACTAGGACTTCTTTCATCTCAGATGTCTTCGCCATCTTGTCCTCTTCCCATCCATGCCTTTTCCTTTAATTTACAGTAATTTCTAGGGGTTTATTGTACTGCAACACATTTCTGAGAGCACTGAGGCAATCAGGACATTAGTCCTGTTATTATGGTCTCTTCCAGGAAGGAAATTCCATTATCTGCTTAGATGATGGGTATGACCCCAAATAATATTTGATCTTCCCTTAAAGCCTGAGACAGAGTGTATGTAAGCCTAAAATGAGGACAACTGAGAAACCTAAAAGCAACTGGAGGGCGGAGCCCTGAAACATAACTGCATTCCTGTTTAATTTGTTGACGAAAGATCAAAACCAAGAGATCCCCAAAGAGGAAGTGTCTGGCAGGAGAACAGGGCAAATGGTATCTTGACAGCCATTGCTTTGGCTTAAAATATCCAGATTTAAAAATAAATACAAATTATTCACTCTCCTACCAATTGTATTATATTTATTTGAATTTTAAAATGATGCTTGAATGCTCAGGATTACAACACATACAAACCACTGGTCCGACGCAGGTGACTAAACGTGCATGTGTATCCTGCTGGATATAAGAACGTGGTCTTCTGTGCATATGGCATGGCCTCAAATCAATTTCCCCACCCAACATGGGGCACTATCCATGCAAAGGCCCAAAGGAAAATTTCTTCAGAGGTACAGAGTAGGTCACTGGATTCCACTGCTAAGCAATGTTTGCTGATACTCAGATACTGACACATTTACGAATGTCAATTTGAGTTTGTTTGCCTATTCCTATCCTCTGTAGATAAAAAGAGTTAAGTTTTCTTCTCCTGAAATGGTACTCTATTTCTAAATTATGTCATTTCAACTAAAGGAAGTAGAAGTTTCAAATAATGGGTGTATGATGTGTCTCAAACTATTCATAATGCCTTCCATAGCAAATTGAGTATGTCAGTGCAAGGCTATAAAAGAATCCTTTCTTTTTAACATGCAGACACCTGAGCCCTACATGCAGTCAGAGGTGGTATCACTCTGGAGAATCAGCTTGAAAGGCAAAGTAGTTAGAATGCCGGGGATAAGGAAGTACACTTGTAAGGAGATATGTGGATTGCTTCTTCATTGAGGGATGCACAATAGAACCCCAAAGCAATCTTCATTTCTTTTTCTTCATTTGGTCCTTCTTCTCCTTTTTGTCTTTGTTTTCTAAAGGTTTGTCCTGTGGATCCTTCTGAATTTTGTTTGTTTTTTTCCCTCGCAACTCAGAAGTGAATGGAGGGGGGTGAGGAACAGGTGGATTGAGCACCAAGGCCTTTTTCTGAAGCTTCAGTTGCAAGATTTCAAAGGTCGTCTGGATCTCATGCTGAATAATATCATGCAGACTCTGGATCTGGGTTTTAATTGCTTCATTGACTAGAGATATTAGTGTCTGGAAGAGAAGAGTAATATATCTGATATTTCTGATATACTGTATATTACAATTAATATGGTTGGCTACTGATTGACTGATTGCTTTAACAAGATTATAACCTGCTCATCAAACTGGTGAGAGCTAGTTTGGTCTAGTGGTTAAGGCACCAGGCTAGAAACCAGGAGATTGTGAGTTCTGGTCCCACCTTAGGCACACAAGCCGGCTGGGTGACTTTGGGCCAATCACTCTCTCAGCCCAACTCACCTCACAGTGTTGTTGGGAAAATAGGAGGAGGAAGGAGTATTAGGTATGTTCAGTATCTTGAGTTATTTATAAAAAATAATAAAGGCAGGATAAAAAAATCTAAAAAAAAAAACAGACTGGGTGGCGAACAACACATAGGGAAATAGACATTACAAGAATAATATAAAAATAAAAACCACTAATACAATCAGAATTACCTATGAAGACACCTACAGTCAGTTGGGGCACATTGGAATAGTACTAATTTTATGTGATTGCAAAAAGCAAGGACACCTGAACCACATTCACCTCCATGAGGAGAGAGGTCCAGAGAGTGGGGACTATCACAGAATGCCTAACATTTCCTCTATAATCTGTTATGAAGAATGGGAACTTTCAAGAGATTCTCTCTAGATGGTCAGATTGAACAGGCAAATTCAGTTCTGGCAAAACATTGTCTAATGTATTCTGGTGCTACACCATATAAGGCTTGATTGAGGAGACTTGAGTATGAAAGCATTTGGGAAGGGGTGCAATTTACAATGTCTTGCTAAATCATTAGAACCTTATTGGTCCTTTGATTAGATGAAAAAAAAATCCCTCATTGCTTAGAAGGATGGCCTTCTAAACCAGTTACTACTTGCATAGCATCATAATTCATCACCTGGTAAATAGTTACATGATTCTCTGAAGCCCAGTGGAAGGATAACAGAAAAACATGGCTGAGGAAGAGGTCATAGCTATATCAACAGCAACTCCATTTGACGGATGTTGTCTGCCTTGCTCGTGTATACAAGGAGTGGGAAGGGGTGTCTAATTCTAAACTGAAAAGATGTGTAGGATGAGATTTGAACTTGACCTCCTTAAGTCCATTGCTTATAGATTTCAGTGAGGTGAAAGCAAAATGTCTAAGGCCATTTAGTCATTGGGGAGTATATAGTATTTTATAGCACTGCTTAATTATCTTTGGGGCATACACAGCATATCATTGTTTTCAAAAATCAGCACACCAGTGGTTGAAGAGTACTATAACTTACTATTGAGAAAGCATGGGTAGCTTCTTGCCTACCTAACTTTATTTTATGTATTCATTAATTTTTGTTTAAGTGGAGATGAGACAGCCAGCTGAAAACCAAACAACCAGCCTCCCATCATCTTTATTTACAAGAATGCTTTTTTTCTGGGCCCCACTTAATCCTGACAGGCATAACTAGACAATAAAAATAGTAGGGAGCTGTAGTCTAGAAATTTATTTAAAAATGTATGCACCTCCCTGGGAAAAAGATTAAAGTTATGTCAAAGTAATAGGAGGATAAATTAATATGGAAGGACAGAGGAAGCAGTGAGGTGATAAATGCATGTTTTACAATGGATCACACACAAACATGACAGCCAGAGACATTAGCCTCCAAGGAGGACTAGGAGATAGATGTCCCAGGTCCCACCTGGCAGAATAGCAGGAGAGGTATTCAAACCTAGCAGGGTGCTATAATCACATTTTGGAGTGTGTACTATGATATACATTGTCATGGAATGAGAAGGAGTCCATAAGCCAGCTGAGGCTGGAGTCCTATTTAGTCCTATTTTGGTTCTCAGCCCTGATATTAGCCAAACACATCCTCATTGACTAGGTAGGTAGGTGTGTACACACACACACACACACACACACACACACACACACCCCTGATGAAGGGTGCGGCTTGGGAACATAATTTCAATCTGACTATAAAGCTGGGAAGGAGCCAACAAAACAGTGTGGGGACCCAGAATATCATTTAGGTCAGGGTGGCAGCTGGCAATATGCGTGAATGATACTTGTCAAAGGAAGCCAACAGCCAGCTGTGGTAACAGTCCTTTAGTCAGTTTCCCAGAAGCTGTTGAGTTTAGAGGAGATCCATCAGACCTCAGTGATGATGAGCCAAATCTAGGACTGGCAGAGAATTGGGAATAGCAAAATTTGGAGTTTCTTCTCTACATACAGATGGTACTGAACAAAAAAATGCTCACGGAATTATACCCCAGCAATCTCTGCTTGAGTTCAAAAGGTGATATTCTCTCTGTTCATTTGAATGTACTTGCCATTGCTGGCAGCTCAATGAGACACAAATGCACAAGCATTAATGGGCCATTCATTTCACTCCACAGATGGGCTGACAAGTTAAAAAATTGCCTCTCACTTCCTTAAACAATCTGCTACAGGGCAGAGAAGAACCAGAAAAGCAAGCCCAGGCAGGTGGGAATTTTCAATCTGGAACGTGATAAACTCTCCCCCAACTAGATGTCGTGCAGGTGTGTTGGATTTCAGCTTGCACTATTTCCTCCCAACCATGTTATTTTACTGAACAAGTAGACGAGCATAAACTGCTCAACCTCTCCAGCTCTTTCTAGATCATCAGGAAGACATGATGTGCTCCTATAGGTAGCCAATCAGCTCTTCTTGGCCTGAGAAGTGGTGTTGTGGGTCAGTTGACTGCCGAGGTGAACAAAACAGCTGGATTCACACAACATATGCTTTATCTGGTTGCTTAATTAATTCGCTTTCTGTGTTTGCACAATATATTAAATCATTAACTAATCAAACAAATGGGGTTTGCACAAGATGCTAAGCCAGAAAACCCAACCAAGATTAAAACTGACCAAAATTTATATATTTTGGGAATGCAGCCACACGATTACTGGTTGTTAAGCATGTTGCATGAACACTGCCAGTGTGTGATTACCAGAGTAATAGATGAAGAAAGAGAGAGGGAGGGAGAGGCAGAGCCTTTGAAGACATTTTGAGAGCAAGCAGCAAGACTTTGGAAATGAGAGTCAGGCCTAAAGCTTCCATTTGTGTTACTAAATGTTGTGTTACATAGGAATACAAGAGCCTCCACCAAATCCAGTGTCCTAACCCTTATAGGAGTCAGACAGATTCCTTAAAGATCACAGGCAAAACAAGAAAGCAAGAGGGGCAGTGAAGGGATACAGAAATATCTGTTTACTGCTATCTAAAATTCATCTGGATTTTTGCAAGCCAGATACGGTAGCTCTCAGTTTATTTCCCTTCCCTCCAAACAGGTACTGTATTCAACAGCAAAAGGCCTTTGACGCTGAATGTTCCATTTATCGCATTCATTCTCCTCCTCCATAAATTTGTTTAGTTCCCTTTTAAGAGCATCCACTGGCCATTGCCATATCCAGCAGAAACAAGTCCACAGAAGAATCAAGTGCTCTGCTCAGAAGTGTATTCTTTGATCTGTGTTCCCATTGCAAGGGGCAGAAAAAAGTTTCTTGCATTGTAAATTATCTATATATCATGCATGTTATAAACCTCTGTTGTATCATTTGTTTCCCAGGGCCAAGTGTCCCCAAAACACTTGCACTTTTCCATATAGGAATGATGTTCCTCAGCCTCCCTCCTACTGGTAGCCCTTTTATTTATTTTGGTTTGTTCTAATGTTTTTATGTTGCTGTTTAAAGTTCTCTTAAGGCATGTCACAATCAAGCACATTTAAAATGTGTGACAGGGAACATAAGAAAATAGGCCAACAGCATAAAGCATATCCAATAATATGTTTGAAAATAGAAAATAAAAAAACCTAATATCTGTAGCTAATAGAGTAATGATTTAAAATAAAAAGATTGATAGGAATGCCCACATGAGAAAAGTTCACCAAGGTAGGCTCAGTATTGAAATGGACTTAATTCTGATTAAATCTGATAAACCAGGATGAAGAGACCTATAACTGGGGATTTAAGGCCCCCCCAAAATTACATGGATTCAAGCAATCCTTTAAAATCCCGATCCCAAACAATTTGTGGTTTAAAAATCACCCCAGAACTTAAACTTGAGCTCAGAGGTAAATCTGCAAGAACAAATCCTGGTTCATAAGCACCTTCCTTTTAGTGCATTATTGTACCTATGGGTACAGTATGAGTTGGCTAGGCTGACTTCATCTTTGGTACAAGAAGAGGAGCCAAGAGCAAAGAAATGAAAGTTTCTACTTTATGACAAGTATTTGACATGTTTTTGAGGGGTCAGCCTAAAAACCAAGCACAGGATCTGTTCTACAAGCATGACTTGTTTAGTTTTTGGTGCTGTAATTGGGACCTCATCCATACTCCCCTTGTATTTTTCAACAGCAACATTTTGTTTACAATCCTGTTGTCACCAGCTAAGCTCACTGGTGGAGTTAGTGAACATTTCTACCCTGAGGCACGTCCATTCTTTATAGCTGGAAGGCTAGATCATCTAAAATAAAGAATTTACAGCTACAGTCCCCAGTGTGGAGCCTCTGGACATCACTTCTACTTTGGGAATCAATAGCCTCCATGCTCCAGCTCACTTTGTGAATGGGCAATTCCCAACCCCCATTCCATAGCAACCCCAGTGCCCATAGCATGCTTTCGACATTTCAAACGTGCCCACTGGTCAAAAGTTGAGACTCCTTGATGGCTAGGCCCATACCAAACCAAAGTTCCTTAGAGAGATTAAATGAAATCCAGTGATGGTCAACTACTTATGTACAATACACTGTGCTGAATGAATAATATCATAGAATATGCTACATTCTTCATTTACCTCTGTGTTAAGGCTCTGTGTTTGCCTTCTGACCTTTCGGTACACTTCTCTGAGCAGATTTTCCCGCTCTGCATGTAAAGTTTCTCGGATATGCAATACACTGGCCCGTTTTTCTTCTTCAGCTGCACAGAGGGCAACTAACTGCTGCTGGTACTTCCACGTTTCAATATCTATGCCTTCAGTCAAAGGGGGGGGCCTGGGGGGAGCACAGACCTCAAGAATGGCAAATGTCTGATTGTGGTCTCTCTCCCGAGTCAGCACAAACTGGTACAGCCAATAATGCTTGAGGAATGTGTTTGAGAAGTAATCATACATGGCAGCCTGCTGGAAAGAGGGGAGCTGCACCCGAAAAGCAGTCAGTTTCTCTTGAAGGATTCTGATGGCCTGTAGCACGGGCAAACCTGAAAGGGGGGGGGGAGCAATAATACATATACATTTGATAAATAAATAAATAAAAATACAACTTTTGGAGTTCCTCCCTGCTGTTCACTGAACCCACCAAGGGAGAGAGAAGCATTTCCAAATGCTGAAAGATTCTTTGTCCATGTCAGTGGCTATCCTTCACTCAAACTTATCCATTTATTTTCCAGCCAAATGTTAAGTCTTTTGGTCCCAGGTAAAATACCTGGAGCCGCTAAAAATAAAAAGGGGGGGGGGGGTAGGAATAGAGACCCTGGTTTGCACAAAGCTGAACTGGTGCAAAACAAAAATGGGGTCTAGGATAGAGGCTGTAAGTCCTGCTCTTCACTACAACAGCTTTATGTGGGCATCTTTCTCTCTAGCAGGTCATATAGGAAAAGGGGAAGGGAAACAACAGCAGAGGGGAGATGCAGAAAGGAGGAAGGGCACACCCAGCAATGAAGACAACACTACTGATTGTGGCAGGGTATACATTCAATAAGTAAGTCAGTAAGTAAACAAACAAACAGAAATCCTTCACTCTGGGTCATGTGATCAGAAAGAGGGAAGAGACAGCTGCCTCACTCATAAAAGTGTGTTGGGGACACTTTTTTCCGACGTTTTTCTCCACCACCTCAGGCTTAGATCGGGCCCATCTTTAAGCTCGATCTTTCTTTTGCCAGCTTTTCCCCCCACCCTAAATTTGCTCCATTCTGTTCACCATATGGAGAGATATTTGGCTAACCAATGAATCCTGAGCCCCTTAATTACTTTCCAACATTCCAGTGGCCTTAAAAGAATAAAAAGTAATGGTGGGGTCTAGACAAAAATAGGTTTTAATTTATGTATTTTGTGTTTAAATATATTTATTTTATATCACCAACCAGGAATTTAATAATTCCCCTTGTCCGCCATATTAAAACTCCAATTGATAACAACTTTTAAACATAGTCTGGGGGGTGGGTATGCAGCCATACAACACTAAGCCATGCACCCCAAACAATAACTCTTGTTCCTTTTCTGGGAACAATTAAAAAAGCTGATATATGCCTTTGAAGTCCTAAAAAGTACCGTTTCTTAGGTTCATCTGCTCTGATCAAACTAACCTGCCTACATCCTAAGATGCATTGAAGACCTTCTACCTATTTAGTCTGTCTGTCTGTCTGTCTGTCTGTCTGTCTGTCTG